GGACCGGGTTGGGCCGGGCTCCAGGTTGGGAATGGGCAGGCTCAAACCTAAAGATTTCAGACTCGATACCGACCCAGGTTTGTACCAGGAACGGACTTAAACAGTATCGGGATGGGCTCCAGGACAGGACTGGGCAATAAATTAAAACGATAGTGCAATCGCGCCCAGGACTGGCCCAATCGTGTCGGGTCCAAAAAAACGAGCCTGAAGCCCGCCCTTATAGCCACCGGGTCAGAACCGGGGCTATACATTAGCGGGCCGGGCCTGAACAGTATCGGGGCCGGATCGGGCCGGGTAGGGCTTACCTATCCCAGTCCGTCCCTAATCTTTATAGATCAGGAATTTTTTGTGATGTTCAAGTCTAAATCTAGCATGTTACCGATTAAGGACTTTTTTGCTTAAGCCTGACATGCTTAGGAATATCTAATGTCACCTGAACCTTGTTTATAAGAAATATAAAATATAAAATAGAATCAAGTCCAAAAAAAGTGACAAATTATTTTAATACACCATAGAAGTTTATGACAAAAACAATTAAACAGCTTGATGATACAACAGTTTTATAGCTTGTAAACTTTTTTGTATTTCAACTTGAAGGATATAAAAACTACTCCCTCCGACTCATAAACAAGTTCCACATTTGACTTCACACATATTAAGAAAATAAATTTGACTTTACTGTGAAGCGCACTGTTTGGCACTGTTTGAACACTGTTTGACACTGTTTTGATGTAGATAATAAGGAAATGTTTGAAAGTGGAACTTAATTTTGAATCTGCCCGAAAAGGAAAGGTGGAACTTGTTTCAGAAACGGAGGAAGTATTAAAATAGATTCGGAGTATATTCTACGGAGTAATAAATAATACACTCACATTATATACTTTGTTGTATTTAAATATCGGGTATTAGCCCTTAATAAGACTAGAATTAGCCCAACATTCAACAATGGGAGTACAATCATTTTATTTCCAAAATAGGACTAATATATATCTCTTCTTACCATTCTACCCTTTTCCTATAATTTCCAACAGATTTATTTTATTAATAAGAAAATCATAGTTTTATTTTTAATAAAAATATAAAAAATAATAAAATATTTATAAATTAATAATAAAAACGTGAAAAAATAAATCATAAATTAAAAAAAATATTAAAAAACTTTAAAAAAGTCTAAAAAATAAAATAAAATACCTAAAAATTATTTAAAAAATATTTAGGTCACTGCCAACGCATCGACTACGTCCTAGCACTGCCAGCTCCGGTCGTCGGGAAAAAATGTCATCTTGTGTTAAAATGTCACATTTCTCTGAAAATGTCATGAAGATGGCATTTTTACTCTTTGAAAATATCCAGCTTTCTCTTCAGAATTGTCATCATGATGACAGTTTTTCCCCAACTTGGCAATCATTTCCGACGACCGGAGGTGACGGTGCTGGAAGGTGGCTGAGGTGGTGGTTGAGGTATGTATATTTTTTATTTATTTATTTATTATTTTTTGTTTTATATTTTATAATGATGGTTTAAAAATCCTATTAGGAAGGACAAAAGAAAGGGTAGAATAGAAAGAGTTGGTCCTATTTTGGAAATTTAAACTTTAAACTCTTATTGTTGCAATTATCCTTTTATTTAGTCATAAATCTCCGTTTAAATATACAAATATCATATGTAGGCCGACCTGTTAAGCTAAGCGTGTTATAGAATAGGACCAAGAGGAGGAAGATGAACTAAACAATGTAGCAAGGCAATTTCACAAACACACTGTATGCATTCATTAAGCAATTCCAGAATTGTATTTTCTATTGTTATTCAATAGAACTTCTAACACTTATACTATCTACGGTTAATTAAGTTGAAAAGTACAAATCTAATAAGTCCTTAGTTTAAAGCATAAACATCTTTAAAAAATGCTATTGAAATTGCAAACAGATCATATATTATATATTTTGAGGTCATTTTAAGAAATAATTTTGAAATTGGAGGAAAATAGTTGAGCATACATGCTTAGGAAGATTTTGAAGAATGACTAGTTAAAACGAACAAGAGAAATACATAAAATAGAGTATCGGAGGGTATATGAGTTAGAAGGTGTCAAATAGAATCTACGTCCAAAAGGTTGAATCCCCAACCCCAAGGGCCCCTCCACCCCGACCCGACAGGATGGTGGGGGAGTAAATCACGGTGACTCAGTCAGTAAAGCGGCAGTAGGCCCTTTACCCGTGCGCACCAGAGGGCCAGCCTCATTTCAGGTTCTGAAAACCCCCTTTTGGCCGTTGCGGGATTCGAACCTTGATCTTGGTCTACGTCCAATTTTTCCCACCGCTCGACCAACTGAGCTACCCGTGCGGGTGTGTCAAATAGAATCTAAACATTATCTTTCCCGGCGTTTTTTATTTCATTTTTCTGAGTCTAAGCGGTTAGGGAAAGTGTCCTGTTGTCAAAAAAGCTGAAAATTGGCTTATAGTTGTTTCCCAAGCCTAAATGTGTCATTAAATTTCAAAATTAACTCTATTAAACGATTATAAAAACATATACTCCGTATATAAAATGTCGAATTGTTGACACTCACTGTTCATTAATCTTAGACGTATTACATTAATTAATCTTAGAGCATCTCAATTCATAATTCTTATATAGTCGGATAGTTTGCACCATTATTAATTAAGACATTAAATTTTAAACGTTAATCACTCACTTCTGTAGAAATAACTAAAGTACCTTCAACGTTTTTTTAAACGTTATCTCATCAAGGGGCCATCAACAACTTTGGCTAGCGGTGATCTAGTATCAATATTTTGGGTGTTCAAAATTAAACGTTTTCTCTTTGAAATACAAATAAATAGTTTATTACTCTAATTTAGACATATATTCTCGTTATTTTTATATTTTTTGATGTTCACGTGAAAACCCTTTGCATAGATGAGATCGTTTGTTGGCTTTACCCCACATCATTTGGGATGTTTTCTTTTAGACTGAAATTTGTTGATCTTATCTGATTTAATCTGAAGTGAATTGATTAGATAAATGTTTGGTCTTTGTATTTAGGATGTTTTTACTTGGACTGTAATTCCTCCCAAACCAGACCAGATCAGATCAGACTAGTTCAGACCAGACTTGGATAATTATAAAAATACAAAGAAACCAGACCAGACTAGACCAGTAAATTACAGTCCAAGTAAAAACATCCTTATAACTAGGGAAAATGACTATAAATAATACTCCCTCCGTCCCGCTAACAATGGGACAAGAGGGAGTGACACGCAAATCAATAAAAAGTGCTTTATGTGGTTGATATTGAATTGATAAAGTAAGAATAAAGTAAGAATTATTTAGAGCCACACAAACTTTGCCAAATTTGGTATGAGACAATCTTAGTGGGACGGACCGATAAGGTAAAACAGGACAATCATAGCGGGACGGAGGTAGTACAAACTATCTTCTATGAACCAAAGATAATACATACTTTGGAAATTATTTTTAATAATACCAACTATCCAAACATAGACCAAAAGTGATATAGAGCAATTTTTCCTTGAAAATTCAGTTATTTAATTCATCAAAAAGTAGTATCAAAATATCAAATAAGTGATTGTATTTTCAAATATCATTTATTTGATAGTTTGCTATTAGATTTTAATGTCCTAAATGATTGGATTTCTTGATGAAAAGTGACTCCATATTAGTTTTGTTTTATATGCAAATAATTGGTACTCCCTTCGTCCCTGAAAATACTTCCAATTTTCCATTTTAATCTGTCCCGAAAAGAACTTCTCTTTCCCTTTTTGGCAAAGAATTTGTGGTTCACAGCAATTTTTACACATTTCTCTCTCCTCTGCACAACTTTCCACCACACAAAACTCACTTTCTTAATCCGTGTGTCATTTGTACTACAAAAGTAATTATGGGACAGAGAAAGTATCATTAAAAATCATTTTCAAAGTATGTATTATTCTTCTTTCATGAAAGATAGTTTGTACTCCCTCCGTCCCGTTGGAATGTTCCCGCTTTCCTTTTTTGGATGTCCCGTTGGAAAGTTCTCATTTCTCTAAATGGAAAGTTGTCCTACATCAAAACAGGGTCAAACAGTACAAAACAGTGTCAAACAGTGTCGAAACAGTGCCAAACAGTGTCGAAACAGTGTCAACACAGTAAAATTTACCCTCTGGTAAGTTTATTTCCTTAATATTTGTGTAGGTCAAATCGGGAACATTCCAACGGGACGGAGAGAGTATTATTTAAAGTTATTTTCCCTTGTACGGAAATCTAAACTGGGACTAAAATCATTCTAGTACTCCCTCCGTCTCGTTGGAATGTTCCCGGTTTGACCTATACACATATTAAGGAAATAAATTTACCAGGGGGTAAATTTTATTGTTTTGACACTGTTTCGACACTGTTTGGCACCGTTTCGACACTGTTTGACATTGTTTTGCACTGTTTGACCATATTTTGATGTATGATAACTTTCCATTTAGAGAAATGGGAACTTTCCAACGGGACATCCAAAAAAGGAAAGCAAGAACATTCAAACGGGACGAAGGAAGTACATATGGGTATTTCATGGCCATTCATGAAGACTAGCGGTGCAGTTGTGTATTCATTGGTGTAGATAATTCTATTTGCAAATAGCTCAAATTTTTATTGGAGGGAACTTTTAAAAAACTTCAATTCTTGGTTATACTATGTAATTTAGGAGGGAACCCTCCAAATTCCGAAGCAAAGTGTAAGATTAGGTGCTTTTGTGAAGTAACAGTCTTTATTACTGTGTTGTTTACCCAATTCACGTAATTGATAGAGGTTGTTGTACCCAACAGTGTACAAAATGTACTCCCTCAACTCCAAAATAAAGTTCATACTTCTTCTTTTTCCTTATTTGACAAATTATCTACATCAAAACAATGTAAAACAGTGTCACAAAAATGTAATCTACACTAAGATCAAATTTATTTCCTTAATTTGTGGAGTATTTAAGGAAAGTTAACACATTAATATATTCCACCTGTGGAATCAATAGGGAGGTAGAGGGAGTATTTTTATTGCAAAATATACTACTCCCTCCGTCCCGCTGGAATGTTCCCGTTCGAAAGTTCTCTTTTCCCTAAATGGAAGGTTATCATACATCAAAACAAGGTCAAACAGTGCAAAACAATGTCAATCAGTGTCGAAACAGTATCAAACAGTATCAAATAATGTCGAAACAATGTCAAACAGTGTCGAAATAGTATCAAACATTGTCGAAACAATGTCAAACAGTGTCAAAACAATAAAATTTAACCCCTGATAAATTTATTTCCTTAATATGTGTGTAGATCAAATCGGGAACAAGATATGTTTTGGTGAAGGGTTTTGAAAGATTGCGATTCAGTAAAAGAAATCGATTGCATCAATTCATAAAAAAAACTAATATCGTAACCCTCAAATTGCATAAATTTTAGAGCTTACTGAGATTATAAAACAAGTCAAAACCAGAAGAGTTCCAAATTCAGAAGTTAAAAGTGTAGAAGAACAACATGTGAATTACAGGAATGTTGGTCTTTTTTGTTTTAAATTAAAGGTGCGGAAATGAAGACAAACCATTGCTTTCAAATCATCCTTAGATTTATACAAACATGATTTAAGAAAGGGGAAGTAGAGACGATGGGGAACATATAGCTAAAGCAACCTAACCTACTGAACCCAATCTACTAAGAGAACAAGAGAATGCTATCTGGAAACAAATGAGAACAGAACCAACTCCAAAACGCTCCTTATCTGTTTGCATTTATCTAGCCTTCTTTATCTAGTCTTCTTCGGTTGCCTTGCCAGCGGCCTTCTTGGGAAGAAGAAGGTTGTGAATGTTAGGCATAACACCGCCATTGGCAATCGTCACATCTCCAAGCAGTTTGCTCAACTCCTCGTCGTTCCTCACTGCCAATTGGATGTGCCTTGGCACGATCCTCGTCTTTTTGTTGTCCCTCGCCGCATTTCCAGCCAATTCAAGTACCTAATTGAAACAAACGCGGTTTATTAGGGGAGAAAAGTCTACGATGCTTGCAAACCCTAGAAGCGCGAATTGGGGAAACGAATGCAAAAAGAAGAGAGATCGGTTACGAGAGATGAATGAGGTTTACCTCCGCCGCAAGGTATTCAAGGACGGCAGCGAGATACACCGGAGCTCCGGCACCAACTCGCTCTGCGTATTTTCCGGCCTTGAGGAACCGAGCGATACGGCCGACGGGGAACTGGAGGCCCGCCTTGCTGCTTCGGGATACAGCCTTCTTCGCGGCGGATGAGCCAAGAGTCTTTCCACGTCCTGCCATTACTTCAAACGCCGCCGCCGGTAGGTGAGACTATGGCTGATCTATATGCGTGAGACTGGCAGGTTGAAGATAGAGAGGAATAACAGCGGTAGTACGAAACCTGAAAAGGGGTAGCTTGTTTATATAGGTATTCGATTTCGAATGTGACAAATGAAGCGATACTACCGGGATTAGTGTTTATCGACCGTCGATAAGAAAAGAATGGATGGTGCAGATACCGATCCACATTTCCACTTTTACTCCGCATCATCGTGTGTGATTTTGGATAATTCAAATTTGGGTGAATTCCCCGAATAGGAGTAAAACATAGGCAAAATGCAAAAATAGGAGTACCATGTTTTGAATAGGAGTAGCTTTAGTGTTTCGACAAGTATACCCCTACACAAATCCCAAGTTCCAACAAATTTCATTAATAATTAAAACATAAAAGAAATACTCCGTAAGATTAATTAATTTATAATAAAATTGTAAAAAAAACATAAAAAAATATCAAATAAAATATACTCCGTATTAAATAAAATAAAAAAATATTAAAATATAAAAAACTGAAAAAATAATTAAAAAATGAAAATAATATTAAAAAAAAATATGTAGGCGTCTGCCGCCGTCTCAACAACCTCCCAGCACCACCAGCTCCGACCACCGAAAAAATGCCAACATTTTTCTCGAAATGCCATTAAGATGGCAGATTTTGAGAAAATTTGACATTTTCAAAGAGTAAAACTGCCATCTTTATGGCATTTTAAAAGAAAAATGACAGTTTTTACATAAAATGGCATTTTTTTCACCGATCGGAGGTGACATTGCTGGGTGATCTTCGAGGCTGCGGGAGAGGCCTGCATAATTTTTTTTCTATTTTTTAATGCAGTTTATCTATTTTTTATTTATTTTTAAAGTTTTTTATTTTTACAAAAATAAATTTTTCAATATTTAATATTTTAATATTGTTGAGATGAACTTAGATTATTTTTAAAATTAAATGGCCTGCATAAAGGTTTCGTTTCCAGTGAATGAACTTAGATTTTTTTAAGAGGATCAAATAAGTTATATTTTAGAATTAACCAGGTTAGGGATATTAAGGGTGCAAAATTAATGTTTACTCCTATTGAATGAAGTTTTAAATTTTACTCCTATTTGTGCAATTATGTTTATGTTTACTCCTATATTGGGCAATTTCTCTTCAAATTTCAAAGAGTTCAAAGACTTCAACGAAATCAAATTTTTACACCGAGTGAATGATATGGAAAGGATTTCAATTTTTAATTAGAAATAGGGGGTTATGTCATATACTCCCTTTGTCCCATAAATTTTTCCTGTCACGCCCCGGACCTACCAGACACGTCAACAATCCGCCGTACAGTACGATTTGTCAACCGCAGTTCAACACATTCATACTATACAAGGCGTCTGGAATATCATTCACACGTAGCACATCCATAAACAAACATAATGTCAATTATTCTTTAAAACAGCGGAAACAACATTACAAGTGTTCAAGCCACACTTGGCAAACATGGGTATACAAACCCCCGAAATGTATATTCAGAAAATAATATCCATGAGCATTATTCATATTGTTTTCGAAACAAGAACGGAAGAAGCACGAACCAAGTCTTCTTCTCAGAAACTTCCCGAAACAGCGGCTGGTAGTAGCAACCTTCTCAAGAGCCCAGCTCATAATCACCGTTATCTACTACATTTAAATCTCCGAGGCCCTCAATCTAGAGCATTATTACATTATAGTTAATCCGTTCATTTAGTATCAATTCATCATTGTTTACTACGGTCTAGAGCCCAGCTCATAATCACCGTTATCTACTACAGTCTAGAACCCCGCTCATAATCACCGTCATCTACCACGGTCTAGAGCCCAGCTCATAATCATCGTCATCTACTACGGTCTAGAGCCCAGCCCATAATCACCGTTATCTACATCGGTCTCGAGCCCGGCTCATAATCACTGATTCTTTATAATTCAAATTCTTAGGATCTAATTCATCCATTTCTCAACTAACATTTCCAACTAATATTTCAATGCTAGTTATTTATTTATTTCAATATAATTCTTCCTTCATGCCTGATTGGCCTTAATATCAAATATCACTTTCATACTTTCATGGCTTCTCCTCATGGTATCAAAGTATACTATCTCAAATGAAATTCATGGTTGATACAACCATCATACATTCGTATTCATAACATCTAAACATACACAATTTATTCATAAATTTGTATATCATGCATACTATACTTATAATCAATAGTAGTTTTATTTAGGCATTATTAACCATTAACAACCCATGCACATCACATTTGTATTCACTTAGGAGATCCCATGAGATTAACCCAAAGATTATAAGCAACATAGTCGGTCATCCTCACCTTAATTTAAGCTTAAGCGCGTTCTACGCTTCTCGATTGAACTTTGACTAATTTCGGCGAACTTTGACCAACTCCGGCGAACTTTGACCAACTCCGGCGAACTTTGACCAACTCCGACGAAACTCCGGCGAAGCTCAAAAATACTTTAAATCAAGTTCCTAACAAGGTTTTATCATCACAAAACCCATATCAACACAAATAACCTATAAAAGGTTATTTTCCGGCAAACCGGTCGATTTGGCTTCTAAGTCCGTTCTTGGACATAGAACCACTTTCCAACCCATAAATCCATACTTAGAACATGGAGAACCATCCCAAGGGTTCTTCATATAATAAATATTCCTCATGGTAGAAGAAGAATAAAGGGAAAGCTATGGCAAGGTGATTACCTCAATTTCCACACTTTCCTACACCTTTTTCCTTCTCCAAACACTCCTCTTTGGATCCTCTATCTTGAGCTCGAATTTGGGTGTGAAAAATGATGAATTTCAGAGCTCCTCCTTTCTATCCTAGGGTGTTGTTACGAGTGGGTGGAGGTGGTGAGGTGAGAGGGGTGGTTTTTGTCTCATTTAGACAAATGAGTGAAGGGATGGGGCCTACTAAATGTCAAAGGGTGTCTCCCCACATCCTATTAATTGTTATTCAGCCAACTTAGCACTCATCCAGCCCCCAAGGGTTGACAAATTCGTGGGGTGGCCCCCACCCATGTGGGAGGTCATCCTAATTTGTCCCAAAGTGTACAATTTGCCCCGAAAGTTGTATTTTCCGGACTATTTTAGATATATTTTATTTTATCGGTGATGGATAGTCTACCCGGGGGTATATATCCGAAGGGTTATTACGGGGAATAACTTAGAGAGAAGTCAGAGCAAGTAAGTAAAAGTAGAGAGAGAGTGTATTCAGTATGAATGCCGTTTTCAGCGTGGTTACAAATGGAGAAATGGGGTGCTATTTATAGTAGCAATAAATGCCGGGCACGGACACGTGTCAAGCGCTCATTGGCCGAGGGGTCACCTCAACTGGTTGGCGCTGGCAGTCGCATGTGGCCGCATTTAATGCGGCTGTTGGATGGGACGTCTGTGCAGGGTACGGTGATCTGTACGCATGTGAGGCGGATATCTTGTCGAGTGAGATGCCTTCGGCCATAGAGCAGTAGCCGAGGGCTCCTCCAACCGATGGCACCCTGGTGCCGAGGGCTCACAGGGCCGAGGGCTACTGTTTTCGCCGTTTTCTCCCAGTTTCTTAATTTGCTTGAGAAACCCGTTCTGCGAGAGTTTAGAGCCTTCGCCCAGGGGGGCGAAGGCACCCCTGGCGCATAGTGTGGGCTGCTTGGTACTCTGGGCGCTGTGATTTGGGCATGTTGGACCTTCTGGGCCTTTTGGGCCTCTAAAGGAGTAGTAGGAGTCCGTGGGCCGGGTGTTCCCGGGCCATATACTCCATCAGGAGTCCCTCACTCCTTTTGCCGAAAGGTACTTGAGGGAAAAGGAGTAATTTGTGCTTGCCCTTTGATGTTGTCCCGTCGTGATCTCTGAAGTTGGTGAGGAGTTGTTGCTTTTATGTCCCTGCCAAAGGCAGTCCCTCAGTTACCCACATGTCGGGACTTGAGGGCTTGCCTTGCCGTTTGTTGGAATTTCACTAATTTTGTAATTTAATGATTTTCCCGAGGGGGTCCTCCAGTCCCCCACTCCTTGAGGCACTCGTAAAGTGGTGAAAAGGAGTAGAGTAGTTGCGTTGCTGTTGTGGGCCGAAGGCTGACGTTTTTTCGTTTCATTTTGGGGGGATGCCTCGTTAAAAACCTCATTAGGAAAAACCCTTTGGGAAAAAATCCTAATGAGGGAAAAAGAGTGCACCGAATTCCCCCAATGATGAATCGGAAATGTCAAACCTTGGTAAAAAATGGAGAATGACGGGAATGCCGAAGGCTCTCTCTTCTGAGGGCTCCTGTGTTGATTAGCCGAAGGCTTGCTGTTGATGTTCTGGTGGCACCGAAGGGGAGCCCCTCAATTCGGGGATCGAGGGCCTGCTGGATGAGGGCAGCAATGGAGTTGTTACCGGGGGGTCCACTGTTTGTTGATTAGTTGGTGATGAAGATACCCGAGGGCTCCCATTACCTGTGTGCCATGGGTCATCCGTCAATGAGGCAACTCCCCGAGGGCTACCCGGTTTTGCGGTGCTGAGGGGGAATCCCCGAGGGGTGCCCTGATATGAAGCCCTGGGTTTCTGAAGGAGTGATCCCGAAGGCATCTGTTATGCGCTGTGTGGGGCACAACCCGGGGGCACTTCTGAGTGAGTGTACCCGGAGGCTATCCTTGATGAAGTGGAGTGAAGTAGAAAACTCGGGGGCTTCCAGAATATAGCCGTTGGAAATATAGCCGTTGGAATATGTAACGACAGGATATAGCCGTTGGGGGGTGGCACACGTGGCGTGTGATGGCTGGCTGTTCGTGGGCGGCGTCACCGGTTGGGTGAAACGACGGTGTGTAATGATGACGGTCCGTCCGGAGGCCCGGTTTCCGGGCCCAAGCCCGAATTCCAGTGCCTATAAATACCCCAAGGCCAGAGCCATTTCCCCTTGTGCGATCATTTGTCTTAGCGAAGCTCTGCCCAAAATTCTAGTGAGAGAAACTCAGGCCTTCGGTCAAAACTTCTGCTTTCAAGGTCAGTGCCCGCTTTCCCTTCACCTCTTAGCTAC